AGGTGAGACTGCTGACGGCAAAAAAGCCGCATAAACATTTGTAAAAATCAATTAGAAAAATTCGTAAAATCTAAGTAGTAGAAAATCTCCGTGTGAAAGAGTTCGTCCAGGGAAATACTGCCACATCACCTATTTGAGAGTTTGCTGGTGAAATTATAGGCACATGGAACTTATCAACGGCTCAGGGTGACGAGCGCAGTGACAGTGTTCGTCAGATCTTTGCGGTTTAAAGCTCTGAGTGACACTGGAACTGCTTTACTTACCACGAGGCGCATAACTTGTTCGTACTTACGATATGGTAACTGACATATCCACAGTTTAAATCCGTGCGACGAAATATCCCTTGCACTTAAATTTCTAAGTTACCTACATTTTTGTGAATATTAAGTAGGAAAAGCTATCGCTAACTGTGAAAACCTAATATACTGGTGAAACCCGCATGTCGAAGAAGGTTTAAAACTCTAGGAATTCGTGTGAAGCCCTTACCCTCTCCTTGGAGGAGATCCGTGCACAGCAGTGCGACCAAACTCAGCTTCACAATCCCATACAACTTAGTGACGCTTTTGGAAACACAATATTTTAGGGTGTGATTTTAATCCTTACTAACATTTTGGGAAAAACCTTAAAATACGAAATAATATGAAAGGAAGAAAGAAAATACATTCATTCATTCATTTGTATACCACAAATGACACCATAACGGAACAAAAACAAAACAGAAAAGAAACAAAAATAATAAAAACAATCAAAAGTAAAACATGAATAAGTAATAACAAAACAAAATCATACTCAAAACAAAATAAAACTAAAACACAAACTATTCACATAAACCAGTACACCAAGTATAAAGTTACTTTGTGTGGTGCCAGCTGCGGTAACAAAAGGGTCACTAACTCAGTATTTGCTGGATATATCAGCCTTTCTAAATGCCTACCTGCAAAATTATCATATCTTTTCAACAAGAATCAATGAAACAAAAGATCACCTTCATTGTTGTTAAGTTGTTTGTATTGATGGGAAGCATTATCCTAAAATTAAAAATGATCCCAAATTTAAGCGAATTATTGATCTATAATAACTACAAAAAAAGAAAATTGATTTTCACTGAATGTATAATTTATTAATCTCGCGATATCAAATGAAAAATCAAAGGGAAAACGTCTACATTTAAGGGACTATCGGATTCGAAGGCACATAAGGAATAAGTAATGTGCTCAACTTCAGTAATAAATCTTAAAAGAATGCTTTGGCCGCTCCCAAAAAGATACTCGTAGAAGCATTCACCTTCTATTTTCCCTGTTATTTATGAGCCTATGCTTTATACGAACCGCGGGCCAAGAATAAAATGGGTAACTAAAATAAATGGCCCTATGTTCCCATGATCAAAGATTCATCTGAAGTTTTTTCAAAAACTAATGAGCAAACTGGTAGTCAAATCTAAACTGGTATAGATAACGTCGCATATAAAGATACAAGTTTAACGATGATAAAACAAAAAGCCCATAATCTTATCTCTGGTGGTGATTTATATGCAGTCTATTTGGTAGAAACACATGTAGCGCTCGCCATGGCAGTGTGCGGCCAGCGACAACGAACCCATTGTCGCAATGAAAAAAATAGACTTTAATCAAGTTTGCCTATCATGATTTTTTATAGAAACTATTGTAAACATGATAAAATTCAATATTTAAACATTTTCATTTAGTTACATTATCACCTTATATGACATCTTGTTTATTTGAATCACATTTCTTTCTTATGTCATTCGCAATCGTTTTCAGTTGTCAATTAGCTACCTCAAAGAACATCCAAAACAAAACAAGATAGGCTTCATTATAAAGTTAGCAGCTACTTGTAACCAAGCGGTGACAGTAGAAAGACAACGGCTTTCATACAACTCAGAGTAATGACGGAACTTTCACCGATCACCGCCGTGACGCGTCGTATGTTTTCCACCTCAAAAGATATAGATTACTCATGCCTTCCACTTACAAGTGATTTACATTAAGATGGTGACGCATTTGCATGTAGAAGTAACCTTTTCATAATTGAAACTTTGGTAGCTTCCAACTTAGTGATTAGCTTAATGGATTTCTCAATTTAATGAAACCCAAAAACTTAATAATTGACTTTTAAAAAGATAGGACACCAAATTTACGATTCGTTTCTAAGAATTTTTTGTTGACGATAATCAGTAGACTAACAGCTATTAAAAAAGAAGACCCTTTTTAGACTATTGTGGAGGATCTTGTATGTCATTAGCTGATAAACTATTGAATTTTTTTGAACAAACCATCAAAATTTTACATGTTTAATAAGTGTATTAGAGCTAAGTGACTATATTTATATATAACGCAGTTCATTGTAATCTCTTTCTTTTTTGAAATTTAATTTATACATGGATACCACCGTTTCAATATAAATCCTTTCTAATAGATTGTCGTCTCTCTTGACTCCATGTTGTCTATATGTCTTCGACTCTGCTATTCACTTGATAACACAATAATTGTAACCAAACTAAAATTCAACGGTGAAAATTTACTAACAATTTAATAATTCTAGATGATCTCGATGGCCTGCGTTTTGCATTATGCATAAGAAGGGACTGGAAACTTTTCTAAATTGGTTCTGGTATTCAGACTAGTGACCAGGAGTGAATTAGTTGCTCTGGTACTCATTGTAAAGGGAAATCTCTAGTTTGAGTTTTTTAATTTTTTTTTTTTGGGTTCACGTATTAAAAATACGGATGGATTGACAACAACTTAAAACGAAGGGTTTTGTAAAGGGTCCTAAGCTATGACGCACAAATCTTTTGTTTGATCAGGCGTTTGTTGACAACCAATTCGTTGACGTTAATCCCTAGACAATGGTACCGTTTCATTTAGGCCAAAATGACGGCTCGACCAACGGTATCCTTTATGAGCCAAGTTTAAATCTGTACGTTAATATTTAGATAAAGGATTTTCTACGAATATTTTCTATTCCTGTTCATTCATCTGTGGACCTCGAATGAATTGGAAATATTTTACAAATATTTTGCAAGCCTTCGCTTGTAAAATCAGTTTCAATCGTTTTGTATTTGAGAAATAATTTATGTTTTATTAATTTAGAATTCCACATAAAACCGCGTTACATATAACTAAAAAGAACTATTAAAAAATCTTTTGAAATATTATTTTTCCATCAGAGAAGACATTAGCAGCCTTCTAATTGCTACGATCTTGACACTTATCCTGCACCTCATGAACACGCATCAGTGCTTTTATACATGCTCGTCGGTTAAAGGTTCTTTTGACTTGTCCTTTCTTTAGGATGCCTTCATTTGGTTGTGGTAAGTTTATCTTGGTCGGCCCTTACCAACTTAACCCGCTCAGTCTCACCATATAAATGTTTCGCCATACTCCTTCATTCATTCTCTAGAATTTTTACAGATAATAGATTTCTTAATGTGCTGATGTATTGGTAAAGGACTCGACACACCTCGGGAAATTTTATCCATCAATCCATTTATACGTTCCAAATTTGGCACGTACCACTTTTAAGGAGAACGTTTAGGTCATAGTCCGCCACGCTTCGGCCAAATACGGGTTAAGGACTATACACTTTTTTTCAATTTGAGAAGCAACCCTTCTCCCTTTTTATATGGCGGAATTTTATTGGCAGTTAATTCTTGTATGTAAATCAAAAGTGACCAAAACTGCTAGCTGCCACAAATAGGAAATGCTATCTTTGCAATTCGTGGCATTCGGCCATAAAACGACTACTTCAGCCATTTATTAAAGGTGTTTTGATGTAAAAACAATAATTGGTAACCATCACTTTATACTGCCCGCCCGTGAAGTCCCAAGAATGTGATGAAAAACCTATATAATCTCACCTTAGGTGTCAGACGCGTTCGTTAGGCATCATTCGGTTAAGGACTGTAAATTACGCGAATTACTGAAGCATTTGGTTTTTTGATCCTGATACCTTTTAATGCCTTATCATGTTTAGCTACGGCCTTTGTCGGAGTAAATTCTCGAGCTCCAATATCACGGTGGAGTTTTAAGTTTTTATTAACTAATGGGTTACGTATTGGAAGGACTTTGTTGTAAGATATTTAAAAACAGTGAAAATGGAATACAATACGTTCATTTGTCAGAATACAGTATAAAGTAAAATAAGGTGTATTGTTTTCAGTCTGCAAGCAGATCGCTTCCTCTGTACACTAACGCAGTACCGCAGAATATTAAGGCAAGTGAAACTTTATCATAAATAAAGCACACATTATAGTACTTTGACGTGAGATGGATGGATGCTTTATTCACTATAAAATTTTGCTAGCTCTACTTGTCACTATGTGCATAGTTCAAAATTATAATATTCTGCAATACTGCGCTATTGTTTAAAGGCAGCAAGATATGCAAATATTAATGGAATTTCATGTTTGATCTCTATAGTTAATTGCATATCAAATTAATGTAAATTAGTATTCATGTGTACATTCGAATGATTCTTTATTACTATCAATGCATTGCCCCAAAAGCCATTTTGTCAATTGTAATTTAAAAGTACGTAATTATGTCCTTGTAACTGTTAAATTTCACTTGGTAATTCATTGACAATTATTATAGTAACAATTGCTCATACTTCATGGCAGCGAGCTTGTGTAAAAGATTCATTCATATATTATCAGCAGCTCTAGTTAGCCTATTAATGATTCCACCAGTTTTAGTAGCAGTATAAGAAAGCACTGCTACCTTAACTATTCCTGTCGCCTAGCAGTAATGTGAGCATTACTGGGTTCCAGCTCTCAGATCTTTGCGATTTAAAACTCTGAGTAGCACTGATAGGCGTGTTGCTTACCACCAGGCGCACGGCTTGTTTGTCCCATCGCTTAGTATTTTTAGCTTTTTGAACGACGGTTTACATTATCAAACTATGTACCTTTGAAATACATTGATTAAGTTGTAATATTGAAACAACGTTTAATTTGGCAGACATATTTATTTATACTTTTTAAAGTTCAGCTCCATCGTTTATAGCAGTAATTTATTATATATACAGTTAAGTAAAGGTACGAAATTAATCACAAAAAAATAAATAAATTTAATTAAGCTCCTAATTTATCCACTAATCAGATTTTGGTCATCAAAAAAACCAAAACAATTTTGTTTCCGAGCACAAAAGTAATTTTGGCCTTTTCATGTCTTTTTAACACTAGACGAACTAAATTATTTAAGTACAGTGTTTAAAGCTACCATCAACTTTAAACAAATATGACTACATCATGATTTTATTAGATAAGTAGGCGATTACGCGTTACTCGAAATTCTGCTCTACTATCTATGGTTTCAAAAACTGGCACGTACGGTTCTTGTTCCAAAAAATATGATTAAAAATACAGAGCCAAGCGAAAATTAAGAAAACCGAATCGTGAGACATTTCATACCGATATACTTTTAAGATTCATCGACTTCCCTGAGGATGATATTTTATTATACATGTTGAAATAAATAAGCAAGAAGCTAATACGTTTTTAACATTGAATGACAATTGAAATTATTTACTCATTAAATTATTGACACCCTAATTATCATGTACCCACGATTGGATTAATTTATCAGGATGAATTTGAATAATAATTTAAATGCCTTAAACAGTATGAATACTTTGTCTTTTGACAGTCAAGAAAAATATAACCTCTGTTTGTTTTTACAATAAATGTTTTAAATATTTACAAATACATACAAGTAGTTATTGCTGAAGAAGACGTCATTAAAGTCGTTATACTTTACTATGAAAACTTTATACTTATTCAGTTTCTAATACTGTCAGTTCTAATACAGATTGTGCTGTGATAAAATCCTTTATTTTCACAGGCATAGGTTGCAGTTTGTCCTGATCATATTGAGAATAAATTAAGTGTGAAGTTCTTCAACTCGATGGTGTATATAAACACATATCAAACTACCTGTAATGAGTACAAGGAGTTGACCGTAGATCTTCAAAACGATTATTATTTTCAATGTCATAGACGTAAAGTCAATGTCAAATTTATGAATGACCGTTGTGACTGTTATTATCACTCCAAGTAGCTGATTCTCGTTTTCAATTACGTTGAGCACGTCGCTACCTCTTAGGAATATCAGTTTTTTGAAGTTTTTGTAGTTGTGGTGCCAATTTTACCCAAATCATTTACCCATTTTACTAGTCGTACACCCTTAATTGCAAATTTCAATTCTTTAATGATAGGTGAAAATTTGTTATTTGCAATGAAAAACTGTTTATGATTAGCTATTTTGAAATCGCCGGATGGATCAGATACCTGATTACTTACATTGACTTTGTCATAGCCCGAATAAGTACTCCTGTCGAACTCCTTTTAAAACTAAAATGTCTCATTTGAAATACAGTATGCTAAAACAACTGGAACATTACCTGGTTGTTGAAACACACAAATTCACACTTACTCTTATTCAAATATGATCAAGATAACATTCAGTTACTTTAAGTACATCTATAACCATGTTTATCTAAAACTTAATAGGGACTAGTAAAAATATTACATTTACTGATAAGTTCTTAAAACATGGTTCCAAATATCGACTCTTCGAGAGATATGAAATTAGACGTCCAAACATCGAATTTACCTTTATTTTATTTACAAGCCATACAAATCCATTAATACAATAGAAAATTAGTTTTTACTATTTTCGCCCTTAACGTATGTACAATGCTAATGTTTTCTGGTGTTAACCTTACTGTGATTCATAAATATATTTATAGTGTACATTTTTTTTCAAATTTACAATCGCCTAAATCTACATACAAAAAATTCACAATTATTTAGGTAATTTTATTACAACAGCTTTACACTAAGTTTCACAAAGTCCAATGGAAACGTAAATCACATAAACCGAGAATTATTTCACAAGACGATTATTACTAATTCACTTGTTCGGGCCTATTCACAAATCGTATCACAAATGAAACTTCATTCGTTCATAATTCGTCATAGTTTTTAACACATCTGCGAACATTTCGTCCGTAAGTTTAGGAACTGAAGGCGCGGTCATCAATGGACAGCATGTCAAAACTATGACGTCACACTACCACATCTCGTGGCGCAGCGTCGTTCATCGGAGCTGACGGAGTTATAACAGGCTGGAAACAATGTGCAGCTGGAGTGAAGTCTTCCACTAATTTCCTCTTCAAAACAGAAGACGACCCAACATACACATTAGTTCCTGGGAACGTACCTCGCCGTCTGCGCCTCCATAGGACAGCAGCAAGCACAGCCAGCCCAAAGGCAATCATAGCTGATAAACAGCCTAAGACTAACTCAGAATCAGGAACTCGTTCCGGCACACGTTCCCCTCTCATTGAGCTAACTAGGACTGACATTAAACGATCTCCTTCACTGACTTGAACGTCCTGCACGCTTTCAGTCGATACACGCTGAGCACGGCTAGTGTCAATCGTCATAGTCTCAGATCGCTCGTTATCTACGCCCGGTGTTCGAGATACCAGTTCAACTTGAATATGATAGATGGTATCTGGCCATAGTGATAGTGTGACTCGAGTTGAGTCTGTGAATAGATTTCCTTTAAGGCCTCCGCCGTCTACTTCCCAAGTTACGAGATACACGCCTCGGGCTATCCGTGGTTCCCAAGCGATTTCGCCAATCACTAGAACCTTTTGATGTATTAGTGATATTTCTTTCAGCGTCCATTTATGTTCATCGTGGTTTGAGGTATTGGTGTCATGTGCTACCCAAGTTTCGTCCGGGCTGTAGATAGTGACTAGGCCTTGAGGATCGACTACGAGGACTCGAAGAAGAGCTCCTTCATTATTGGAAGGTACTCTGGTAGCTAAAGATTGCGTCTGTATTATTTGGCGCCAAGGCCCTTCGGCAGCACGACGCATAACAACGTACACAAAAGGCATAGGGCGTGACGCAGCGCGAGGAGCGGGCGGTGGCCAGCGAGCCAATGCTCCACTAACTCTCATCACTCCTTCTCCTTTTGTATGGATTACAGGCTGTGTCTGCGCAGCACGAGCTGCTTCAGAGTGGAACTCGCATGCCACTTTGCAGCCAGGAAACTGTAAAAAAAATCGTATTAGGTCAAAGCTTCTCTAATCGAATAACTGATTTTCTCCAAAAATACGATACTTACACAAATATCCTTCTCATCACAGACAGCACCCCAAACTTGATAGTTTGATTGTAGAAGTTCACAATTTTCCCAACACTGTAACAATAAGTCAAGGTCAAGAACACATACCAATCAAAATGATCATAACTTGTCACAATTAGAGGTATAATTTGGACGTCTTTTTGATTTATTACTTTATGGGTCATTATGGTGTAACTACTGACATTAACAAATTTGAACTTAGTGCTCCGGTTGCCCATCATAAGCATCTCACAGCTTGGAGAAATTAGTCTGTTTTATAGAGTGGTGACCAATCGTTTGTCATTATTTTTTCTGAATTGGACCAAGCTCGTTACAGCGGAGAATATGGAAATATAATGACTGGATCGGACCTATAATTATGACATCAAGGAAAATATATCAAACCAGATAACAAAATATTTCATAAATATTAGAAGAGCAACACTACACATCAACTTTGTACTTCCAATTTATTGTTAACTGTAAATAAACACATTACATATTACACGTTAAATAAAGGCAAAAAAAAGCAAATAAGGAGTTCAATTAAGGCACTAAAGAAACTGGAGACAATGAAACTAGGTTAAGTAATAAGGACGAAAAATTCAACTTAAAGGAAATAAACGAGAGTACCAGCCAAAATTTCCTTAACAGAGTGGAACATTTGTCATTGGAAACACTCATTAGTTGGAGTTGACGTCAACTTGACGCTCGAGCCGTTGCTTTAATAATTATAAGAACGAGCCGGCAACGGTTATTAATAACTGTTATTGACAAAATGTCTCGCTGCTTGCAGTTCGAATTTAGTAACTCATTTGGTCATTTATAAATGCTTTATCAGCTTTATTACAATTAAATAGCATAATTTACTTAACAAATACATATCAATGCTTGACAAGCAAAATCGGATAAGTGACACTTTTGATCATATTGAGTTATATATACCAGTGGAATCAGCTAATGTTTCTGATTCCAGCGATATATATAACTCAATATGACCCAAAAAAGTTTCAAGTGTCAATATAAAACGTTATTTTAAGCAGATGAATGTTCGAATTTTGAGTTAATTAATATTCCGACAAAAGTATTACTCGAAAATAGATGATAAGGTACTTTTTGTGATTCACGGGAGATTCAATTATATGAAAGGTTTTAATGCTTGAATCTCACAACTGGCAAAAAATCTTATAATCAAAAATCAGCCTGACAACCAAGTAGAGTCGTCACAGAAATTGGGGTCACGGTATGCATTTACGATTCAATCTTTCTTTGAACGGAATTCACATAGGAACACTCACCATAAAACAGTCGGGGCCCTGCAAACACGATGACTCCCCGCCGGGCCTCGGCGCCGCGAACTGCGAACAAACACAACGTCAGTCAAATATTGAAATGTTTCTCAAAACTTACAAGTTTCATTAAATTGATTTGATAATGTCAAAGTTCGATAGGTGTTTCGAATAAGACGAAATGGATGGCCCGTTTTATTTAGAAGTCGTTGAGAATCTTTCCAGTGGATTTTAGAGAAGGATATTTTTAGAACTGACTTTGTGTCTCAATGGGATTAATGTATCGTAAAAGAGATTTTATTATCAGATTTTTGGAAATCAACTTTTTTAAATAAGTCCGTGTCTGGTGCCAGCTAACATCTTAAGAGAGGTATTTAGCCAAGAAATGGAATAATCCCAAAATGGAATCTAATTTCCAGTAAATGGTATTGAATGGTTTTGACATTTACATTATTGTGAATTATGGTTAAACGTAAATCCTACTATTATTGATGCTATGAAGAATATAATCCCTCTAAATTTTATACCGTATTACAGAAAAAGGAACAATAGGACCTAATTTTGTAGCTGAATGCGTCGTTAAAACCAAAATGTAATTCAACGATAACAATAAAATTTCAACAATAACACGAAAAAAGCTATCCAATGTTAATTAACGTTTTAACATCGCACTTAACTCCCGCCAATATAAAAAGGAACGTTTAATTATTCGTCCGGGTACCAATACATTACTCGTTATCTCAGTTTGGAGTGGACTTTATACCCAAAAGAAAAAAGGAAGAGGAGAATAAATGTTCGAATCGAGCAACCAGTTTAATGTATTTGATAAAAGTGACAGGCATCTGCTTACCGTCCGCCGTTGGGTTAATTGCCTGATACTCCAATGGGGACAAGGTATGGCCACATCTGTACCCCGAAATGTCAAATATTTTCATACGAATATGTCATTGGAGTATGGCATAATTTGATAAAGTGCCCTCAATTCTGATCAACAGAAAATTGACGCAAAATTCAAACAAAATTATAAAGAGAAAGTTTTCCCTTTCTTTTAATAATGTTAATGTATGAGAATTTGTTTTAAGTATCATAGAACAGAATTTCTTTTCTCACTGCATTATTTTCACATTACTCCAGTATATTACATTAGGAACGCAGTATAATGCTTTAGAAAGCATGGAACGTAAACAAAGAGTAGCAAAGAAAACAAAATTACTCTTTTAGGTCACTATCATTGTGGCTAATGATGCCAATCTCTGGCAGAGCCATCAAACGGCTCCGGCCGTCCACCCGTTATTAGATGTAATCATCGTAATTTTTCACACATTTTTTTTTCACAACGATACTTCGACTCGGTTGTGTTGTTTCACTTCGACTAATGACAACAAAAAATACTATACACAATACTCTTACAATATACCCAATGTGCATCCATTGTCACTACATTATGCTTTAGTAAAATAAACGCGAGGAAACATCGTGAAATAATGACATAGACACTTTGCTAAAGACCCCATAAACAAGACTAATGGAAATTCTTGAAGACTTTCATTGAAGAAAAAAAACAAATAGAACCAAACGCAGTCAACTTTCGCTACTCGATAAATACATGCCTACAAATAATTTTAACCAATTCAATTAATAGAATTGTATTGCACGATTCGTCTCGAAAGACTTTGAAATATGAAAGTCAAACAAAACAACGGGTGAATGTTGGTACTTCGGCAACTGCAAAGGGAAGTGAGTGAATAATGATGAATGACGGTGATTGAAAACACAGCCCGTCGAGTGGCCTCGTATTTGAGTTAGATGCCGCCGCAGATTACCCTTTTGTTAATCAAACAACGCTTATTGAATATTATTTAATTAATCTTTCGTATTTGACTTTGCCTGGCGTTAAAAAGAAAGCTAAAAAGAAAAATTAATCGCAGAAAGAATCGGAGTTTGATTAAATAGTAAGAATTATGTATTCTATTGAACTCTTGATCAAAAAAAGTGTCTACCGTTTTAGAAAAATAGAAAACAAAAACTGATAAACGTTCCCTAAAAGTTATTATTTAGAGTCATGTGTTAACCTGAATAGATAATTGGGGTTCGATGGATTATATTTTTTGGAGCGACCCCAGGATCTCGCATACCAATATTTAAAGGTTTACAAAATCCATTAAAGATAATCGTCCATAAGTCAGGCCGCGGGCTGCGCCCGAGCAGGAACTAATCGATCGATGCGCACACACATGGTCGTTTACAATCAATCCATCAGCGTTTATGTAACGGGTAACTACCGATGATCTTCATTTATCATTTTGTTTTGTGGGTAGCGAGCGATCGCTCTTGGGGGTCAAGCCAAACGTTCATACTAAATAAATGCCTTAGCCTTACGAAATATGATATGTAAACAACTTTTTTACTTATTCAATTGAGCTTCTTCACGCTGGCTAGCAATACATTTTTTTGCAATGTATGAATTTAAAAGGAACTAACGAAAATAAACAACAAAAGACAAATTTCGATATGCATGATAATGACAAGAAGAGGTATTCAAAGAAATAAAGGAAGGGTGCGTTCAAGGTAGCTGCTAAAGCAGCCCACTACAATTTCCATCAATTAAACGCTATCAAAAATTGCCATCTTATCGACAACAATAAACAATGGTGAGTGCGACATTTACATGTAGCAGATAGAGAGAGAAGCAACACATTAAACACCTAACAACCTCCTTCAGAGAAAGGAGCAAAAACAGCATGAATTATGATTTCGCATAAAGATAAAATACAATCTAAGCTAGCGCGCCAAATGGCGAAGAAAAAATGTAATTTACTTGGGAGAACAAAGACCGCGGGTTTGAAAACGGGACAAGAAATAGGAGTGGGTTGTGCATGATGCGGGTAATCATCGAAATGGCCATGCAAGAGCTTTTAGTGTTATCCTTCAATTCCTTGGCGTAAGTAATATTAGTAATATCTATTAAAAGAAATGGCAAGGCAAAACGGCCGCGGTCAGATAATGCTCTTTAAATCTAAAGTCTTTTATCCAACTGGTTAGGTTCTTTTTATTTTGTTATTAACATTGCCTTCTATCATGGTTTCAATTTGCATCATAAAGTTACTTTTGTTTTTTTATAGTTCGTATTTTTTTTAAGATAATAAGATCTAAAGATCTAAATTTTAAAGAACTGATCGTGTAGTTATATTATGAATGTGTACGTTTTGATGCCAAATGATTGATCTTGGCTTAGCTAGCTTAGTTAATTTGAAATTAATGTGCCGACGTACTTGAGTAGTATGATTTTTGAGTGCCTATTGGGTTCATATGTGTACACAGTCATCAACAACGCGATGAAAAATCGGATGAAATCTATAGAGGCAGTGTTAGTACCCATTAATAGACAACTTTACGGGACTCCACTAGAAGATAAATTCATTCACACTCAATTTGGTCTTTGTAAAACGATTTGATGTAAAGGAAAAAAATGATAATCATGATATTTTGTCTGTTTCTAGATTTTTTCTATATAAAACAGCATACATCTGCAGCTGTAAGCGTGACTGTACTCGTAATAAACGTTTAATGAAAAATATGTCGCTGTTGGCAATAAAAGATGGCATCGACATCATTAGGTCCCGAGACCATGATATGAATTTTTCATGAAATATAGTCGGTTATACCTCACGTTTATTACGTCGAGTCCCAACGTATATTATTTCCAATGATTCCATTCTTTGTTAGAGTTTTTGCGCTCGTTTGGCAGATCCTAACAATTTTATTTTTTTAGATAGTAAATTGTACTTTAATGTCACTGTTAAACGTGAGTCTGAAATCATTAGAAAAATTAACATTGCGAAAATAAAACTATTTTCTGTACTTGAATCTATGTTTTGAGATTACACTGCGATAGTTGGCCATTATCAGGGCACTTATTAAGGAGTAGTGTATATTAATTTTAATAAAATAATAGGATCTTTTTAAAACGTAAACGGAGATAAGTGTTTGACCCGTTTACTTATTATGAACGCATCCTGCCAATTTACTTTATTGATGTTATATTATAGCATCATTAACTTTTTATAACCATTGCCTTTCTGACGGACCGCCTGTAATTATGTACGAGACTACAATCCTTAAACTATTTTTAAATTACTATACTGCTCGTTCTAAATCCCCAACAATATAAGAATAATGTATGCTAAGAGTTAACTGCCCCATTTCTTGATTAGTACTTTCCGATGTCGTAAATTAACGTATTCACTATGGTCATGAATTATGCAAATATATTTTCCTTAAAAGCTTACATTAAGCTGTAAAACGTTTAACAGAACCAGAAGGTAGGCTCAACGGAAAGTTAATCTCAGAGCTTTAATTCATCTCAAATGAAAATAGGTTCAGTACTAAAACGAACAGCCACAATGTCATCCATTTCGGGCCGAAAGTGGCCATGTGAAAGCTGAATTAAATCAAGCTGCCACATTCAATGATATAAATGGTCACAAACATGCGCCAAATTTGATCATGCAGCGAATAAATTAAATAGGAACACAATCAAGGATTAAATTACTGCTTCATTCTACCTCCCACACGAACGAGCATTGCTACACATATGCGACACTTAGCTCACAGCCGGTCGCGACCGTACACTGTGTATGTAGGTGCCTTAACATATAATATTGTGGCACATTGTGCGGCTTGGAGACCGCATATAAATGCGCCGAGAGCAAATAAAACGGTGCTATAATTTCAAATCATACGGACAGAGAATGGGTGTGGACGGCGCTCTCATTGTGTGGAAATGATGTACCTAACCGCTATTAAAAGTGTGGGCCGTATCCCTTGAATATTTCTTACCAAGACGTAGGGTCATATCGGTATTTTATATCTCACTGGAGACAATAGCTCGCGTTGGAACAAGAAAACTGGCTCTGTACATTAAGTAGTCCTACTCCAAGATTCCTAAAATCGCTTCGATTCCAACCACCACGATTATGTTATTAAATTGCAATTAATAATAAATTTGAAATTCATGAAATATTTTACAATATATTACAAGTCATAAATACATTGAATCGTATCAATTA